TGATTGTTCTTGCTGATAACCCACCTGCACTATTTGAACAGGCCCTTATCAAGAACAGTCATAGAACGGTTTCACTCGTTTTTGATTCCACTGTCATCGTGTCATTTGTCCTTCTGCTGAGCTACTGCACGGATTTCCAGTTGTACCATAGCAACATGGCAATTTAAGCCAGAAATTCGCTCTGAGGAGGATGCGGTGCCGGTGAGGTGTTTACATCATTTCGGTCTGCTCATCCTCCTTGATGGCGATCAGTTGATGAGGCCAGAGGCCGACCGCTGGGGCGAGACGACAGCTGTGTCGGTCACAGCACCGTTCGTTCGCTTACCGACGTTAACCATTGATCGTTCACCTCTTTCTCAACCTAGACCTCGCCGGTAGAATCTGCAAGCAATCATGGATTTTCTTTGGATGAGCTCAGACCTTCCGACCCTTCCGAAAAATCTTCAACCAGGATCTCTATTTTATATCTATATCTCTATATCTCTTCATCTTATATCTATCTTTCTTTTCCTTAAGGTTTTAACGATGAGAACATTTTTCATACTACTTCCTTTTCCGATTGAAGAGGAACTCTTATGAGGTTCGTAAATCCCCAAACTTGTCAGTGCCAAGGCTGAGAGAAGCCGAGAAAGCCTGCTTAAGGACTTCAAGTGTTGAAGAGCAGCCATCTGAGGAACTTCATTAACCGCTTCTTGTCATGCATTTCTTACGACTCTCCTCTACCGTGAAGAGGGGTGAACAGGGGTGGTATATGAATTGCTAGGATTCGGTCCCCGGTCCCCGATTAAGGGTGCCAGCTAAAAAGTATTAACTAAGCTTTTGCGCTGTGACTTTCAAAGGAAGTAAATTTGGGATATTAGAGTCTAGGACGGAACGCTTTTCGCTAGAACATGAACAAGCGCTCTATTCAGCGTCATATCTTCCCACAACATTCCCCCTTTTTCTCACTCTCCGTTTTGGAGAAGCGGCCGCAAATCATCCAGGTTCCACTCTACTTCGAGGCTAACTGCCCCACTTTCCGGTGAACTGCAGTGCTCGCTTTCTAACTCTCTTTTAGTCGAATATGTAATTGATCATTAGCTCTAACTGTCATATTCCCCAAAAGATCCTTGGGCTAAAGCTTGACTGGGGCCGCTCCACTGTTACCCTTCCTTGGGCTTTTCATTGAATTCGGCCTCGTGATAGTTGGGCAGGTTTGGGTTTGATTCTCACTTGAGAACTCATTCCTTTCATTCATCGATTAGGCCCTTACTCTCTAAATACTAAATACTACGTACTCCGCGACTCGTAGCTTGTAGCTATGCGGTTTCATGGGTACACGGCGCGATATGACCGCAAGGTTTCTCTAGTCTGAGAAGACACGACTACAGGCGACGACCCCGCCTACTGTATGGGCCAATCACGACGATTATTGTAGAGGAATAATAGGAGTGTAGGAGTTTATGCTGCTCTCGTCAGTTTCATGGATGTTACGATATCTCAGTCCGTAAGCTTGAACCTCTCTCACCCGTCAGCGCGCAGGGAGCTGAGCTCAGAGTGAGCGCAGTTTAGGTGAATGCTTAATGTTTCGGCTTCCAAACTAGTACAAAAGCTGCTTCATATGAAATTGTATTGAATCTTTTTACTCTGTTTTCTTCTATTCTATTTGTCAGCTTTCAAGCCTTCTCACTCATTCTATAAAAAGCTCAAACAGCTGACACATCGACATCAGTTAGCTCAACACCTCGAGAACTATTTGCGCATGTTCTTCGATTAAAAAGTGGGCATAATGTGTTAGAGATTGACATTAACGAATGGAGGACGTCAACAGTCACCTGATCACGCCCTTGGTTAGAAGTCCATAGTTGATCTTCCTTCTGCACAAAGCTTCGTCCACATAGGGCCTACTCAAATGCCTTGAGGGTAGCGCCTAGCTTATGCACACAGTAATTGCCTACCGAATGCTTTATTTATTGACGCAACTGTTTACATTGAGACAATTCTTTCGATATCTCCACGTGTTACTCGTCACAGTGAAACAAATTTGTGCTCCTTATCTCAAGGACTTTTATGCTGGAAATTTCGGCATTCCGAAAACGACCACGAATCTTCGGCACTTCTCAACCAATTCAACTCTTTTTTTTAAAATCGCCTTAATCTCTCTCCAACTTTTCGTTTAAGGGTTTTTCATATGTGGTGCTCTTCCCGTGATTGCGCACACCTTTGAAACATATAAATAAATAAATGAACTTTGTTTCTTGATGATGGGAGTGGATAAAAATTTTCCCCATATGTGGTTAGAAATTGTTGCCCAGACGTAATCTGATTCGGGAAATACGAACTTGGGGATACAGGTCTCTGTGCAAGGGACTTCAGGCGAGCAAATTACTAACTTGCTCTAGGGGGAGTCTTAAGCCAGATCTTGTTCGGAGATAAGCTGAAGAAACAGTTCTCGAAAAATGCGGCATCAAGGGTCAATAGTGCACACAAATCCTAAGCGTCAGTGAGGACGAGATCTCTTTGACGAGGTGAACTCTTAGCAATTCCTGAATTCCTTCTTCATAAATCTTCGGCGGGGAATTATCCCGCGTTGAGGGACGGAAAGAGTTTACGTATGTCGTGGTTAAGTGATCTACTAGTTTTCCTCCAATTTGATCTGCAATTTCCACATCACTAGAGGGTTCACCTGCTTATTGATTGCCCTCTATTCATGCCTCTTTTCGCTATTGACATTGCCATATTCGTGTTTTTCAGAAGATAATGCCATCTTCATCTGACTCTGTTATAGGTATGAAATCCATCGTTCTGCTAGCGGTTGTCGCCGCATGTTTCGCATTCGACAAAGAGTCGATGCTTAAGCACAACAAGATCAGCAAAGAACCTGTCGGCAGGCAGCGTTGCAGTGCCTTCCACATGTGATGAATGCCAAGAGTCCGGTTCGTACTATTAGTTACTTTCACGCATTTTTGTGTATGAGAAATGGGGTTGCCAATGAAACGGGACACGGCATGGCCGATTTTCTTGGAATTACGGTGAGGGCGCGAGTATGTACCTAGGGACAAAGCCCACTGCTATGGTGTCACGAAAGTTCAAGGGATTCGTGAACCATGAAAATGTAGCCAGTTAGGAGGGGGGGGTTGAGGGCAGTCACTTGACATGGTTGAAAAAACTGGAATGTGCAAAAGGTACTTTTCATAGATCTCGTCCACGTCGATGGCCAGTAGGTACACATCCTACGGCCAATTGCGCCTACGTTATTCAGAAATCCTGTCCCACTGGCATTTAACCAAGAAATGCTATCCTGAGAAACGGAATGGAGCTTCCTGGAAACAGTTGAAGTCTGTGAGCGTCCATAAGAGCTACAGTTGGATTTCGGACGAACCGGAGTTGGTGATTGATGAGGAAACGATGCCACATACCCCATTGACTATATATGCTATCACAACACCATTTTTTCTTCTCAACTGAATTGTTTTACTAAGAAAGCCTCTGACCGCAAGATGGTTTCAAGTTGGTCACCTGTGCGCTATGGGCCGTCAGGTAGAGGGTGTAGAATGAAGATGCATTCTTGACCAGCAAGAGGTTCGATCGAGAGTTCGTGTTGGAAGTCCCAATGCCCAGCTTTCGAGGCTATTCTTCTAGGTCGGTCGAGAGGTCGTGTGGAAGGCCCATTTGCCCAGTTTCGACGGCTATCTTAGTGGATTTTGGAATGCTCTCCCTATTCCAAAACGGGAGAAAGGTAGAAACACAACTGCCAGCATTGAATTGCTGCTTCAGGAAGGAAAGGAGGCTGGAGCATCACTCCATTCACTTATCTATTATTGATTTCAGTTGGTTCACCGATTCTCCGATGCGGCCAAGGATCCACAGAAGTTGGCTGAATTGAAGATGTTGTTGAATGTACTCTGCCACGAGACTTCTTATGTCGATGAGTGCCGTGTGTTCGTCTCTAAGCTTGACGTCATCGTCAAGAAGCTGGAGCCATTTTTGGTTAGTTGATTCTATGATTTTTTTGATCATGGCACATAAGTGAACACAGCTGTAAGAAATGATTTTGCTCAGCAGTTAATTCGTTTTTCAAAACGAATAGGTAGAGGTAATTGCGCTTGAAAATGATCGCAGTCGTGGTGATTGGTCAGCCTGTAATCAAAGAAAGGAAACAAGAGAGTGATTGTACAAGTCAGGCCGGGAGTGTGGCGTGAATTACGCCCTACACCTACGAGACTCATTGATAAGCTGTTCCTGTAAGGTGATCGAGTACGGTAAGATATGGCTAAGGAGATAAGGTCAACCATAGGGATGAGGCGCAATCTCCGCTCATGCGATCGTTGTGCTATGTGGTTTCAAGGGATTTTAACATTTTTTCCTCGCTTTCTTTCCCTGCTGATGGGCCAATTATAACAGTACTTTCATTTTCGTACGCAAGTATCTTTACCTGATCGGTCCCAGAACGTGTCTTGAACAGAGAATAACACCACTGGACCATGTGCTCCTCATATATAATAATCAGTGATTGATTCAAAGGGTTCTAGGGAAAAAACCTTAGTCTTCGAGCTATTTGCGTTTTCTAAGATTGTAGTGATTTCAGCAGGATGCTCACCGTGTCTGCAAGTCGTTCCACATGTGCTCAAACTCTCGCCTTGAGGCATTCCACCGAATTGGACTACTGTACGCAAAGAGGACATTGAACAAAGTCGAAGGAATGGTGGGTGATAGATGATAATGTAATGGTTATCAACAGTCATGTTATCACAACGGAAACCATCACGATTACGATTTGGGTACGATTTGGAGCTCAATGAGCGGGATCTAATGTAATACACTGAAAGAGGCACATTATGAGTGCTTAATGTCCCCTTGCCTTTTTTGCTCTTATAATTGTTTTTTTTTGACTCCTTGTGGAATTAGAATGCTCAAATCTCAGAGTAGGAGTTGCTACTGTGTAAAAGTAAAATGTAGGTAAACAAATTTCAGTAGGTGATCGACTTATGTGGTCTTTATTTAACTGCTTTCACCTTCAGAAGGATTTCGTCTGTGACGAATGCCAATTCGCCGCTCGTGAACTGAAGATTATTGTTGAGGATAAGGAGAAGCAGCAGGAAATCCGTGACTTCCTTTCAGAGAACTCTGCATAGACATCCCGCGCTAACCAGGGAATGGTTAGTTAAGCAGTTAACGTCCCTCTTACATTCGCTGGGCTAATCTTTAATTATTATTTCAGTGTAGATATCTCGTCGAACAGCTTCCTTCTGAGATGTTCGGAGCTCGACACAATGTTGAAGGACCCCAAAATGGTAGGTATTGAAAACACCGATCCAAGGACTTTACGGTAATCCAAGTGTTTTAGGCCTGCGCTGATGTTGGTTTCTGCCCGCGTACCAGCCCACCACGCAAGCTGGTAGGATTCGTCGGTTTCCTGTCTCGTCTTTAAGCGTCCAATCCTCGTGTTCAATGTTATCCATTTGTTCATTTATCCCTATAAGGCGTAATATTCCTACATGGTGCATATTGTTTACTCTGCTATCTTAAGGGTTAATTGTAATAAGTTACTTTGTCTATCGTTGCATATCCACTTGAATACTTTGTCCGTTTCCAAAAGTCAGAATTTGTGGAGTACTGTAATGATGTCAGTCCTGAATAACTCAATCACTTCGAAATGGCGGTCAGATTGGTCTCGCGAAAGGCTTTTGATGAGATGTGAGCTTTTTAACGGATTTCTATAGTTTATTTTATCGCGTAGAAATTCTGAATTGGCGTATATGGTATTAAATTTGCAAAAAAAGCGAGATACCTTGTCAATTCGAAGTAGTAGGGGCCATTCTCTTGGACCTAATCTACATCAAAAAATTTGTCACCAATGAGGGAATCGAACTAGGGACCCCCTTTTTCTGGTATTTAGAGGACCGTTCAGGAAAAAGCGGACCATGCTTCTGTGGTTCCCACATGTGCCCTAATGTCATGCAGGAAACCATTTTGAAAAAGCTTGGCACACCCTGAACGACCATACCTTGTCAGTGCAAACGCGGCTTGTTGTCCGTTGCATCGTTTGGTAGACAGCCCTGCCTCCCGCTATCCTGCGATAGCTGACTGAAAAAAATCTTCCGCAACAGCTTTAGCAATCTTGAGGGCCGCACGACGGCTATGTTCAACAGGAGAGGCCGCCAATCGGGGGCCTCGCGCGAAGAAGGCGGGTCGGCGGACGAGTTGCAGCAGCGCGATGTGCGAATGTAAAAGTATTAATGCTACATTCTATTTCCTTGAGCGAAGTCACGTACAGTGAGTCCTGCTACTTCGTCAGCTGGGGAGGGGCCCGTGACTCTGCATCTTGCCGCGCGACGGGCCTTCTGTCTGGTACCCTTCACAGGAAGTAGAAATGTCAGATAGGGACTGGATGGAGCCATAGAGCTAAAACCTTACCCAACCAGCACCAGAGCAAGAGATGATTTGGGTAGAAGAAGTAGATTGCGCCGGCAGAACAACGGTCGAGCGCACACCGACGGCGCTCGTTGCAGGACAAGTGAGAAGAAGAGGTCGCGGCTTCATTCATAGAATAACCATTCTGTTGTCAAATCCACGGGTTGGAGGGCTCCGATAATGGGAACTCAATATCTTGGAGTCTGACTAATTTGGCTCCGTACATGTAGGCACACGTTCTTGCTTTCCCTAACCTGCCATGGGATTGGCTACATGACCAGACCTTAGTCTATCAATGAAGTGATGTTTTCCGAATGATGGCGATGTGTGCAACCCCATCTAGGTCTGTTTCGTGGGACACCCTCCCTCATACTTTGAATATGCTGAAAACATAAGATTAAATGATTGTGCAAGGTTTTGGTGAAACTGAAAAATTACGGTAAGACTTTACAAGTAAGCTGAGCACCCTCAAATTCGAGTTTTCGGCTTTATTTCACAATGAATTCTGAATGAAGTTCTGGCGAATTCTATACAGTATGTTTCCACCTGATCGTAGCTCTCCTTGACAGGTGGCCTTGTGGGTTTGGCTGCTCATAATGAAAGAGTGCGTCCGCTCAAAATATTTCGTCGCACCGATATCCTCACAACTACTTCTTAGTTTGCACTAACAACTGATGGCAGTATCATATAGGCATGCTGAGCAAAACTTGGTATTATACTGTTTTCAGAAACTGCTACGAGTATCGTGGCTTAGACGTCCTCGTTTGCAAACCTTATAAAGTGAATCTACTTGCAAATTCAGACTGCTGCTTATGAGGAAACTCCAATTCATCCGATGCACGCCTTCTTCCGGGCTGCAAAAACAATCAAGACACCGACTGGTAGCGTTCTGATGAGTTGTCTGGAATGCAAGATTGCCGTCGAGGAAGCAAATCAACAGCCTTATCGCCGACAGGGTCAGTAACTTCTACATGGCGCGCCATAAGTATGCCACCAAAATATCAACACTTATGGCCCATGAGCGGTATTTCGAATTTGGAAATGAAATATAACGATACGAGCTCTGCAGAATATTGAACAGATTCGGCAGCAGCAGAATACTGGGCGGTAATTTGTTGCTCCTGACACGGTTGCACCTCGTGAAAGAACGAAAGTAGACCGACGGAAGCAAACGTGCCGTTCAGGCGTATCTGCTGGGCGTGAATCTGGGAGGGAAGTGGAATCGCCGACTGCGACAGACTAACTTCGACTTTGTCCTCAAACCGCCCAACTTGAAGGCCTCAGGATAGATTCAAAAGAGAGGACGGACCTAGAGAGACGGAGAGCGAGAGAGCGCAGGTCCGTCCTCTCTCCAAGGCTTAGTCCTGGGGTAAGCAAACCAGCCCTTTTGGCGGAGCTGCTGGACCTAGCTGCACCACTTCGTCATCACTCTCCTACCGTACCGACCGAGTTCAAGTAGTCCGTCGACCTCGGGGACCCATTCCTCCCCAACATTCCTCCACAACATGGCTCCAGCAGGAACGCCAACGGGCTGGTTTCACGCAGGAAGACGCCCAGGATCCTGTGTTGCTGCTGCCCGGTCTAATGAAAGGATGGTAGGTTGGATCGTTTTAAAACCCTTGATGCCTTCAAGGGATGGTTTCGCTGCCTAAGCTGCATCGCTGACGAATGTGCCTCTTTTTTATCAGAGTGGTTTCAGTGGAGTGATGCTTTATGGGTATCCCAAAAAATTATTCTTGCGGCAAAGGTCATATGAAATACTTTTCGGACTTGAGCAGGACTATGGTACGCGCTCGCCAATGGAAGAAAATGCACTAACTGGGGGCAGCGCCAATTTCCAGAACTTTCCCCAGAATTCATTGCAAGAGAGTTTTGTCGTACTTCAACTCCTCTTCCTTATTCTTACCTCTCGACCGCTGCTCATCCTGGGCACGCCAGGCGCAGGTCGCAGGTCTTTCAAGTGTTCCGCTTCGGCTGCTCTGCGCAGACAGTTGGCCGTACAGTGTTTACGAGAGTGTTCATGGTGGAGGTTTTTGCCGGTCGCTGTGCCTCTCTTAGGGCTAAAGAAACAGCAACATACTGTCGGCCAAAATCGGACTAAATTCCATGTCATCGTGTGTCCCTGAGGGGTAAAGCTCGAATTTGGGAATGCAACAGAATTCTTTGAAGATTCAATGAACAACTGAGCAGGAGATTTCTTCATTAAGCTGTGATTCGCGCTGCCGAGCGGACCTGAATCTTCTACTGGAGCTTGGAGGAAAGTAGAAAATTTGTTTCAGTCGTTTTTTTCAGAACAACCAGGCCGCCGCCGTCCAGCAATTTGCTTGCCACAAGCTCTTACCGTCGAACTTCTCTGCCAGCTGTGACGATTCCTCATAGTCTGTATCTGTGCTACCGGTAGTTCTACTGATTGGGAAAAGTTCACACCAGAAGGCTTCTGCTCTAACAAAATAAAGTCATGTGACTCCGTTTCAAGTGAGTGTCAAACACATTGAGAGTTGAATTTATTCCTGGAGCTAAAGCACGTCGTGCTCGCCGTAACTCCTATACAACTACTGTGACGCAGTTTCTGCTATACAATCGGAGAAGGAAACATTCCTGCTTTAGCTATTGGAATGTTTTTCACGTGTGCCAGAGTCGCTTTGCTGTCGAAATCGGACGTCAAGGGTTTGAGCTGTCAGTCGTGCAGTGGTATGCAAAGCTATTTCGAGGTTTGTTCCCGCAATTAATATCTACCTCTGTGATGGTTTTCAATGGCTGCATCTTTATTATAAGCCGCGAAAATTCGAGAATTCACTCAAAGTGGCATTCTCGTAAAGAGTGGGTGGAGCCACATGCTTCTCATTTATGGGCAAGCATTTTCATGCTTGGAACAGCAGTGAGAGAGGAGGGGCATACCACTGGGGACGTACGGTAATTTAAGACTCCGACGATTCGATTAGCGTTGTGTCTTTGAATGTGGGGTACAGAAGAAGGACAAGTAAGGAGGAAGCTATTGGCAGCTTCACACAGACGAAGGTACGTTTTCGTGCCAAATTTTGGAATGGTGGCATAAAGTATCTCAAATGAGTGCTATTGGATTGGTTGAGCACCATCGCTGTAGTGTATTAGAGGCGGATTTTAACGATGAAAAAGGTAGCTCATTGGAAATTAAGTTAGGGATGGTCAGTGATGCACGAAAGAAAAAAAAACCGAGAAAAATGGCCTGGAACCCGAGAAATGGGATCCCTTTCTTGCCCGTTGATTTGCGCATTGATGCGACTCTCACGCGGAGTTGCTCTCTTCAAAGCTAACGCTCTCTATTTCTCTGCTTAACGGGGGAGGCTCCGACACGAAACTACGCGAGAAGGGGGTAGCGAGCCAATAGGCTTGCGGAGAAGGTCATGCTAGTCGTATAACTTGAGCGGCCGTGTTTACACTATTAGCCTAAAATTAAGCAATTGCTGTTGCTTATAATCTGATTCTGATTGGCAACTGTTATTTTGGTAAACGGGAAGTTTCAATTGATGAACCTGAATGGGTTGAACACCTGTAGATGACTGCTGGCGTGCGATTGTGTGACTCACTGAGAGTCATTGAACAAATCGTCTGAATTCAACTGGTGTCTTCTTACAAGCGTTTTTATGTACAGCGACGGACTTATTAAATAGTGCTCGTGTTGGAGATCAGTGAGTCGCACCTGCGCAGGGGTTCGTGATAACGAAAATGCGATTACTCAGTTTTCGATTTTCACTGGTTTGCTATGATGAAAGTCATAACTAATTGGAATTGAGGAATTTTTACAGGTACTAAAGCGATGTTAGAAAGCTATTATATTGTCGAAACAATTGGATCGCTCAGAAACGGCAGGATTCCAACAGTTCGCTATTGATGAATTGAAACGCTCCGTTTGCGACCACACATCAGTCCTTGCAACAACGGTTTGTCACTTTCGGAGAATCTCATCTTTTTATTTATTTTAACACCAGATTGGTCCCCCGGCAACCACCGGGACCTCCTTACCTGCGTAAGCTTTACTCCTTCCAATGTGCTCCCATCCACTGGTGACATGGACACCTCGTGGAGGTGGCACGCATGCACAAAAAAGTGTCTTATATAGTAGAAGGCATTACCGTAATCGTGACATGACCTTAGAATGATATTAATTGGACCTCAGGTCTTTTGGCGGTTAGCTCCCCTCGCCCTTCTCCATCTTATCCTATTCCCTCTACTGCTCTCCAGCTGCTATTGCAGCATCATGTGGAATGAATGAGACCATGCTCAGTAGGTGTTTATATAGCCGTTGGGGTGTTATCACATTGATAGCACTGCAAAACATTGATTGCTAAAGTCATAGTTACTCGATTTTGTTAACGGTCTGTTTACTTCACGAGTTTCCCTACCACTTCATTTTGCGGACGGACACACATACATACATACATACATACATACATACATACATACATACATACATACATACATACATACATACATACATACATACATACATACATACATACATACATACATACATACATACATACATACATACATACATACATACATACATACATACATACATACATACATACATACATACATACATACATACATACATACATACATACGCACACACATACAGACATACAAACCGACACACAAAGTTAGCGCTTTATAATAGAAGGATTATCCTTCATTTTAACTCTTTTGGGATGCATTAGTTTTCTCCTAAAGCAATCTTTCCATCATCATCCCGCATCAAGTTTCAAACGATTCAACAGCAACTCTAAGACCTAAAGGCGGCAGAGCGATATTTAGATAAAGGGTCACTGGGCTCGCGTGGAATAATGAAGGCTAAAGCGGCAAGGAATTGTTCGTTTTTTTGTGAAAAAACGCAAGTAGTAAGCACTATTCAATACAGTAGCGGTCAAAAGTGTTCGCCGAAACGGTTTTTCGTGCTTCTCTTTTTTTTTGTCAGAAAAAAATCAATGGTGACCTCGAAATTTTTCTTTTGAATATCCTGATTCTTTAAGACTTGAAGATATAAAAACACTAGAAAACATAGTATATTGCTTTCATACTTGAACAGTACCAATTTATCCTGTACTGCCTTGGAGAACGTTTTTTTTTTGGAAAATCAGGTGAAATGCCCTTATCTACTTCGTTTTTCACTCATGTGCTCTATTTAGTGCGATCGTTTTGTGGAGGGCGTGGTTCCGCGACTTGTCAGCAAATTCGCTCACATCAGCAAATCTGGGGACTTCTGTGCCAAGGTTCGTTTCATCTTACGGTAGCTGCGATAACTGTGCAGCAACTTTCCTCTCCTGTCGATAAGTGCGCCGTGAATCTTTCATTGTCCTTGCCTCCCCAAAAGCGATGTCCAACCAGATCGCTCTCTATGAGGATGACCTTTTTATTTATGAATTGCCGAAAACATTCTTCGAGCAGGAACGATGGATTTTCATGGATTTTGGTAGCAAGTGAACCAGAGACATCAATACATAACGTTATCATTACATCCCCCATTTAATCACTTATGGACTAGATGCCCCTCAAGTCAAATGAGCAATCCACATGCTTTTGTGCGACTGGAGAGCATTTAATCAGGAAGGCACGGTTGATTGCTCTGAAAGACTCTGTCCTCGAGTGAGATAGCAAAGCCTCCTCAAGAAGGAGGCGTGGCACTTTTCGTGACTCGAAAGTGCGCGACAAGTGCTCTAAAACCTTGCTTTGGCTGCTCTGACGCTGCTATTTTTACCAGTTTGCAACATGCGCGGTGTCTGCGCCTTCTCGTACGACGTGCTCTCTCATTTCCCTTCTTCACTGCGCTTTGTCGCTCTGATGCACTACCGCCGATGTCGTAAGGAGAGCTGTAGGCCCTCAGTTTCAATGTTCTCTTTGATTCTTTTCACTTTTTTCCTCCTTCAAAGACTTCTTCGCACGGTTTGTTCCATTTTCGGTCATTTCAAATGCGCAATCGCAGAGCAGGTTACATTTTTAACCGCTGCGCAACCGCGCGTTCAAATTCCATGCACTGCGCCCTTTAATTCACTCAATTAGAATGGCTGTTGTTGATCAACGTGAAGGTGACATTTTTATTTACATGTTTATTTCCAGATCCATCCCTACTGTTAGAGGAGAAGTGAAAATTCGTCAACTTGATCAGGCACATAATGAATATTACCTCATCATACCTGTTATGGCATTTGAACAAGATTAGGCTCTTGCGTTTGCTTTTGTAATAGTTGTCCGACATCATTGGACAACTGTTCCTCAGCTATGTACATAAGTGAAAAGGAAACAATCGTAACACGCTAGTTACTTAACACATCTTGCATCGATTAGCTCCTTGTTGGAGTTAAAGAGGCACTCAAAAATCTAAATGCCGTACTAAGGATCGATCGAGGAGTTATCAATATCAAGAAAACAATCGATAAATCGATATCTGCAAATTCGTTCGTTCAACAACATTGTGCACAATAGGAACATATAATAATAATGACGAATTCGTCAGGTTAGCAATACATATAATAACTTTAGTCGATAACTCTATTGCAAATTATGGCTAAACGTGGCTAGCCAAGAATGAATACCAGTATCAAGAAATCCTAGAAGGGAGTTGTGGAGATAAGATCTATGTTCTCACAATCACAGCCACGACCGAAAAAGACGGCTTGGTACGCGCGCGGTCGCGATGCGTCTGGCAGTAACCAATAACACCGAATAATCTAAGATGGTAAGCCGCACAGAGACGGCTATGTATGGCTGTGTACTCTATTCTTCGTGCGGAACCGTCTAACGACCCAATCTCCGAAGGGCGATATGCGACCTTCTGAAGGATTCGTGCTAAAATTCCTAGGAATTTAGGCGATGGCTGATACTTTCATCTCTTCAACTTCCTTCTTTGTCTGGAAGCGTTTCTCAAGTGGGACCAATCGTTTCAGAAAGATCATCCAGAGGGTGAAGGTGAACATAAGCTGGGCGATCTCGACGAGCCACACACCTCGAGGTCCCCATTTGGCGTAGACAAGACTGAAATTAGAGGAAATTAACTCTGAATAAATTTTTGAGGAACTTTTTGGAAGAGTCCTTCTGAAAGGCAAGGATCGGGCCAAGCCTCATTTTTCCTCCGTGTACCGAGGGCTAGGTCCGCCATTGCAGTTTCAGATAATGTATAGTCCCAGCACGAACAACCCTACCAGAGTTACGGGCCTGCAAGCAGTGTCGTGCCAGCAATATGGCTGCCGACACGCTTCCCCACTCGGCCGTGATTGGGCCTCCCACCTAGATTAGTTCAGGACAAAAGCTCACTGGCGTGAGACACCGAGTCTCAGCCACTCAAGAGCGTAGTGGGCGTGTCGCAGCATAGATGCCCGAAACTTGCTGCCGGCCTCGTAACTCACGATGGTGTCTGCCGTGGAGCATTATCTGAGGTGGTAAGCGCACTGGGCAGCTAGTCCTCTATAACCTGTACCATCATTCCCAGACGGAGGAACGCTCGGACCATCGTAAAGACACATTCACGGAAACGAATGCCCCTTTTCCACTTTTCGGTGGGTCGCGTGGGAAGACGCGAGTGTTGATGGACGGCCGAGCGCGTCTCACTACAACGAACACGACTCAGGGCTGCACACTTACGCGTGCCGCAGATGTTTAGTGTTTTGGTAATTATGGACTAAAACGTGAAGTGTCACAAAACGAGAGTTCTAGCCAATAATTTCCGAATGGCGTAAAATTTTCTGATATATTAAGATAGTGGGATTCGAATCAATAAGACGAAAATTAGTGGTACAAAAGAGAGGAGCATGCTTATTCTACAGTCCCGTAGACCGCGAAGGAATGTTGAAAAGCAATCTTAACCCATCGATAACGAGGTTTGCCCACCCTATCCGTGCATCATCTTAGCGCACTGGCAAGCGATTGTCAGTTCGCAGCCCATATGGGCCGCCATCGTCCCAGGAGTGCACAGTGTTGGCAGCCCATATGGGCGGCTATCGGCGTGAATGTGTCAAGGCCGAAAAGATCAATGTCCGCCCACCCTTCGAATCTTGCACGTGTCCGTGACAGTCTGGCGTCGCTTGAACGTCTTACGAATCCGCCGCATCGTAGAGCAAAAGAGCTTATGCCTATGCGTATGGTGTTTGTTAATTCTTCTCTTTTCCTCCACTTACAGTTCACGTCGCATCCTCTAATTCTGTAACGTATAGATTCACAAGAATGCTGGGTTGTGAACAAAACTTTCGCCCCAGGCGGGACTAGAACCCGCACCTCTCGCTTTCCGGGCAAGTGCGCTACCAGTTACGCTACCGGGGCACCATTTCATTCCAACTCAGCTTTTCAATCACTAGACGTTCAACACGTTAGACAACGTCCTTGCCTTTGAAATCATTGCGGAACTCACTTCAAAAGTATCGGCTCCGTCATCCGTGCGATTGATCCGGACATTTGGAAGACTCCCTGCATGGTCCCTGGAAAGAAGTTGCTATGTAAGAAATGAGAAAATTGCAAAAAAAGAGTCCCAGCAGGCCAGCTAAAACATTTGCCTTTATAGGTAACCAATAAGGATTAAACCGGAGATGCGTATAATAAACAAAGTAAATGAAGGTTTGGTGTGAACTGTTGACTTGATGTGAGGGTATCAAAGCCAGTTTCAACCGATACAATAAAAAATGAAAAAAAATTCCCAGAAAATGAGAGGAAAAGGCTCGGCGGCTATCAGTTTCGCTGTCTAATGGTCAGAAAGCATTACGGTTAGCAGAATCCCCCGTTCGCTGTGGCCAAACGATGAATAGATTCGTAAAGCTTATAGTGATGGCTACGTAGGCTATCTTATTAGTGAGTCGGATACGCACAGCACCCAAAAACATGAAAAAGTGGCTTCTCGGGTATAGTTGGTGGTTTTGCCCGAATTTCAGCATGATAAAAGGATAAAGGATAAAGCATTTGCCGTTGATCAATCCCTTTTTGGGATGCGGCACGCATTCTACTTCCATTTGTACATTCGTAGTGGCGTTTGAATGCGATGTGGCCTATACAATGACTTGCGGGGGCCAGCCGATGTACAAGTCAGTGTTTTTATCCTCCCAGACAAGTCTGGTACCAATTAACCGACCCCGGAGGGATGGAAGGCTTGGTTGGCCCGGGCGACTCACGACCCAGGATTTGATCCCCGGACCGCTCGCGTGGTAAGCGCGCCACTTGCCACTACACCACTTCCGCCCTATCAGCATGATATCCTATTGAAACCAGGGCTTCAGCGGAGGAGTATGAAGCAGTAATAACGAGATATCCTACCTGCCGTCTGGGACCGATGATCTTCGAGAATAATGTTGCCAGTACAACATTACTGAACGCATATGTGACTTCGAAGACACTGCACAAGGAGACGTAGTAGACCCACATGTTCACTCGAGGTGTCTCCGTACACCAGCCGAAGCGCTCCGAATCACAACCACCTAGCTCGGACTCTGAAGCATTGCTTGGGATGAAATATGTAAAAAAATCAATCCTATGGGTTGATCATTATTTAGGGGAGTGAAAGTTTATAGACATGATGATGGGCATTGTTTGTAGAAAAAAATTAGGCAAATGAATTCATCAGCAATCTGCCTTAAAGGCCAGTCCCCAGTTCTCACACGTATGAACCTAATATCAAAGAGCGATAGTTGTATACAAAATTGGTGCTCTTGTTTTACGAAAGCAGATCAACAAAATACAACCAGCGAACAGAACACAGAGGAAGGCTTTTCGTGACATTTCGGCAGATTTAAACCCTGAAGCCAAGTTCCAAACTAGTTTGTAGTTTGAAAGACGTAAGCAAACCAGCCCTTTTGGCGTTTCTGCTGGGGCCGTATGCTGAATGGGGAGGGATGGGTCCCCGAGGTCGACGGACTACTTGAACTCGGTCGGTACGGTAGGAGAGTGATGACGAAGTGGTGCAGCTAGGTCCAGCAGCTCCGCCAAAAGGGCTGGTTTGCTTACCCCAGGACTAAGCCTTGGAGAGAGGACGGACCCGTCCTCTCTTTAAGGCTTAGTTCTGAGGTAAGCACCAAATTGTGGCGGTTCTAAGGACCGAGTTGAAGTGGTCCGTCGACCGTCGGGGACTCCATCCCCTCCCAACATTCACAGATTAGAGCAGTCTGGCTAGGGCGATACGATGATGACAAACACAAAGAGGAAATAGA